GGAAACAGTAGTACAGTGGATCTCTAAGCCATCAAAATGAGAGGGAGAGGAGTAGCACATGGATATGCATAGTGCACTGAAACACCAAAATAGAGTCTTTAAAAGCCTGGTTTTGTAGTTCAGGTGCTAGGAAAAAGCAGAGATGAAAAATAAAGATTGTTTATACCAACTGTGATTTTTGGAATTATAGGAGGGCTATTGAAAAAGTAATGCCTCCTGTTCTGTTACGTTGGCCTTTGGCATCAGAGGCGGATGTTGGTGGTATGGCAGTAGATGTTGAACCTTCCCACCGATATTCCATCACATGTTGTTGCTATGCAACTGCTGGCAGCAGAGGATGAGTCTGACAAAATGAAATCTGGCTTGAAAGTGAGTATGAAGGAAAGGTGCATCATTTAATTCCTCACGCGGAAAAATTTGCATCTGTTGATATTTACTGACACTTTCTTAGGGCTTATGGAGACCAAACAGTAGAAGTGAGCACAGCAATGGGGTGGGTGATGTGTTGTGGCAGTGTTGACAGTGATGAGAAAGGCAAGCCATGTTCTGAATGGTCAAGCAGATTTTTACAAATGCGACACACAGACTCTAGTTCATCACAATCACTTATGCTTAACACAGCTAATAGTGGTGATCTATGTTGAAAAGTAGCATTTTGTAGCTGAGAATTTGCTCTATCAAGTAATGCTATTGTGTTCTTTGTATCTGTTGTAATTTCCATGGAAATAAATAGGAAGCACTACTTTTGGAGCAACCCACATGTAAAATAAAACTCCTCTCTCACCTCCAGTCCAAAGATACTTGCTGGCTCTTTCTGAAACAGAGTTAGGGTCTAATTGGTTTGTTTGTGGCCCTGTGTCCACATCTCAGAAGAGCATCAATAACTGAGTTTGCATGAGAACTCTTACGCAGAGCTAAAACAAGCATAGCAATCTCATTAATATTTTTACTGATATAATTTGTTTCTTTCTTAGAATGGAAGCACAATGGGTTTGTATATTCTTCTTGGCTTTTAAACGAGTATCTAGTCTCATGACAAATTATTTCTTTTTTTTCATTCCATGCCTGTACATTATAGTTAGACGCGAACAGGCATTATGGGTACTATTTCCAAATGTCTGTCTTCCAGTACGATGCTTTTCTTAGAGGCAAGGTATGCCATAATAGTTGAAAACACATTTTCCTAACTATATTTTTGAGGGAATTACAGTAGTAAAATTAAGGAGATGGGAGAAGAAAATAGCACATGTAAATTGAAAATAATCACTGTATGCTTTGCATCCTAAATAAAATTTAAATACACGAGGCCAAAAAGCATGCTATTGTCTGTTCTGCTCCTTCTGCTCCTTGATGTTTATCCATAAACATCATGCAGGAAGAACCCGAAAGAATCACCATGTAACATTATATTTTACTATTTCTTCCAAAAGTCAAGAACTAAGAGTCAATTCATTAAATAATGTGTAGAAAATGCCAGCACTTTCTGATTACATGTAAATATAGGTGAGAAAAGGTAATGCGTGGGTAAAAGGATTCCTTTTCTTTCTATTCAGTTTTTAATGATGCTGGCTGATACGCCATACTCAGTCTAATATTTCCTGTCTATGAACTTTTTACCTTTTCCGAATACTGTGTCTTGTGAACACTTATGTTTCATTTTCTTCTATTTGTCTTGTTCATAAAATTGATGCTTTTAAAGTTGATCTTTTTCTTTTTTTCTTTTTTTCTTTTTTAATTTATTGAGTAAATATCAAATATTTGTGTTCTATTTATGTTGGGAGTTACTTCTGAAAGCTTATTTAGCGTATGATATGAATATTTTCTCAGTCAGAATTCATCAGAGAGTTTTTCCTTCCCATCTACAGTGCTTGACTGACTATTTATGAGCCCCATGTTTCTCTCAGTCTACAGCAAAATGAAATTTGGAAGTAAACGCAAGTGTCTCTTTTACTAAGTATGGGATAAATCAAGTTGGAAGGGACCTGGGCAATCTCTGGTTTGGCCTTCTGCTCATAGCAGAGGCTGATGTGAGATCAAACCATTTTGTTCAGGACTTTATCCATTTGGCAGTAGAGAACCCCCATGGGTGATCAGCCTCTTCAATTGCCTACCTTATGGGAAAATATCTTCTCACCTATTTGATGTGACTCTCTTGTGCTTTAGCATGTATCTGTTGCCTCTCATTCTCCCTTTTCTCTCACTCCATCTTGATTTTTTTTGGAGGGCTGGACAAAATTGGACACTGTTCCAGATATTGACTAATGAGTGCCAAGTAGATGGGGCAGTTCACTCCTCTCCCTCTTTCTGCTGAATGTGTCTCTATTAATACAGCCCAGGATGCAGTTGGCTTCTTAGTTTTACAGATAGTCTGTTTATTATTTATTACTGTTTTAAAGACAGTTAGCAAGTCAATAGGATTATTATTTTTTTTTTCTTTTTGCTAAATATAAGCATTTCTGTAATGATGCTTTGTAAATACTGTCACTACATGAAGAACTGGAACTCAGTTATTCACTGACAATCAGTGATGTTCCTGTGGTACACAAAGAAATTGATTGATGTGGACAAGTACAGTACCCAAAATAAAATCATGCTGAATCCTGGTTGAAAGGATATTCAGAATTTGAAAATGCCAAATAGGAGAGAAAGAAAGCACACCTGTATACATAGAGTTAAGAAGTTCTTAACCATTTGTTTTAATTCTTGTAATTGGATCTCAGTATATGCATTTATTTTCCTATTGATATCAAAAGTTAATTTAACGTCACCTTTTCCTGGCCTGTGGTTAGACTGTTCACTAGCTGTACAGGCAAATTAAGGAGGGAGACTGTTTTGTGACCATTGTACCCTCAAATAGCAAGAAGTACCCACAGGAAAGCTCAAAAAGGATCATTTAAATGCTGGTGCTGTCTTCCAGTGGAAATGTTTGAGTTATTATAAACTTCCTATTCAGATGTATTGATCTTATGCAGACTGTATTATATATAATATCATTACGTTCCTACTGGTAATCCTTCACCAGCATCTCTGTCTTAATTTGTGTAGTGGAAATGCTAAGTCACAGCCTGAAGCAGTGATTGAGCACCTGTGGGAAGACAGGGCCAACCCAGAGGAACTCAGGTGCATGCAATGAACTTGAGTGACCAGAAGGGATGGAGCCAGGATCCACCCCTTCACAGACTTCATTTAAGGGTTGGCAGTGGAGGCAAGGGTCTCTTGGAGGTGCCTGTGGTGTTCTGAAGGTAAGCTGATTTCCACCCCCCTTCTTTTGTTTCTGTTCGCAGCTGCTGTGTGTTTGAACAAATCCTATAGCCAGGGATTTTGCTACTCTGCTGTTGGTTCTGCACTTTCCATCATTTAATGTTGGGGTAGTGGCTCTTTTGCTCCTCCTGGCAGTCCTGCTGATTTTAATGTTTTATATATGTATGCATGTGCAGATTAATAAATGTGATATATGTTACATGTTTTTATGTGTTTCAGATATATATTTGTATATTTTAATATACTCACATGTGCATATGTAGTTGATAAATGAATTCTCTTAGAGTAAAAGGTTCTAGCAAGCTGAGTTAATACTTAATTTTTGCTTCCTAATCCCAGATTGCTTTGGTTATCTTCAGTTTTGGGTGTATAGGACATGATTGTAACTTTCTGGGATGTCTATGCAAGTAGCATCTTGGTTCTATGAAGTATAGTGTGGTAGAGGGTATTAAACTCAAGATTTTGAAACAGCTTAAAGTATTTGATGCTGTAGTGATGACAAACTGGAAGTGCTGACTCCGCTAGTTGTGGTAAATATATATGTTAGTAAAACAATGTATTTTTTTAAATTTACGTAATACTACTTTAAACCCAAAGAACACGTTTTATTTGGTTAGTTGGTTGGGTATTTTGTACTTAAAGCTATACACAGCACTGGAAAAGTGATCTTTTTATGGAATGGTTATCTTCTTAATTAGTAAAGCCTCTATAGCATTGAAACATTTAGACATTATATAACATTGAAGCATTTAGAGGAAACTAAATTCATATATTCTGGTTAAATGTTGTAGGCGAGATCATATCAAAAGGCAGCCATAAAGAACTTATGGAATGCGGTACCCTTAGATTAGAATCAAGTCGCAGTAGTTTGTGAAAAGCTTAGGATGAAGTGGAAGTATTTTGGTTCCTAGCTCTTCCAGATGCCTTTGACAAATACTGTCCTAGCATAGTGAAAGACTCTTTCTTTGCTGGAGTTCAGTAAGTAATTGATCACTAGTTTATAATGTAACCCTAAGAGCTGGGAGTGCCTTCCCTACCATGCCATTTACAACAGAGCTGAAGTAGAACACAGGGTGAAGCAGACTGTGCTGGCATTTCCTGGTGTGTGCTGTGGATCTCAATGAGGCTCTATTGACTGCCCATTTGTTTTACTTTCTAACACACTTACTAGCTACCTGTAGCTATATGAGCAACCTAGAAAGTCTGGGTTTTCAGTCCTGGTCTGAATATTTTTTCCATTCAAAACAAGAGCAGCATAGATCTTCCTTTCACTGTTTTAAATTTCTTTCTCCTGTGAATTTCAGTAGTTGACTTGGCTTATGTTGGATAGCAATGGCCTTCTAGTTACTATATTCTCAGATATTTCAAATAAAAATTAATTTTTCTCTCAGGAGTTTTACTTCATTACTCACTATCAGGATGTGAAATAAGCATTTCGTGAATCTTTTTCCTACAACCACTTTTATTTTTTACACAATGAAATATATTGCCAAATAGGAATTGCATGAGATATATCTTATGTTTTGGATAGTTCTTTCAATAACTTGATTTTCTTCTTAAATCCTCAATTGTCAAAGAAGCATAGAAATCTGTAAGTTTTTATTTGCCTGTAAAAACGTAATTGCTTAGCCCTAGCTTGTCCTTTATTGGAGTCTAATATTTACATATGTTGTTACTACTTAGCTGGGAAATTCTTTGATGTGACTTTGAAGCTCTTGCTTATATATGTCTTGCACCAGATCCTCTCTCCAGCGAATGGGGATTAGGTGGAAAGTGTCAGCAGCCCAGGGACTCTTTTATGCATAAGTAAGTGTGGCAAAATCAAATCCTCTGTCCTGCCACTGAAAAATACTCAGCTGTTTAAAATTGAAAGATCTGGTTCAAACAGAGGTCTTGGATTTGCATTGTGTAGTAACAATTCTTTAGCCTCTAAAATCAGTGTAAGCTCCATGAACACATGTAAAGTTTCTAGGAGTTTTTCTTCTATAGGAAGATCTTATTACAAGTTAACCACACTTGCATATGTGTATGTATATATTTACACTAGTGCATAAAATAAATTAATGTGAAATGTGAAAGATGTATAAGTTTAGATGCTTGAAATGAGAAATGCGCTGAATTTTGCCCATGGATTTTGTGAGAATGAAGGGACAAAAAGCTAAAGGAGTACAGTGCATCCTGGAAACACTACTTGAGCATCTGAGTAAACCACAAGAGGATTTTGTGAAAAAATCTCTCAGGATTTCACTGAAGGCAGTACCATAAGGTCCAGCAGGCTGCTTCCTTTAGATTCTGCAATATCATTCTGGCAGCTCACCTTGAAATAAAATAAACAAACCTTCTATTTCTTATTTTGTATTTACGGAAATAAGAATTCAAATTAGTAGGTTGACTTCGAAAGAACAGTAAATCAATATTCAAAGAATGTAGGCTGACACTCTTATTGCCAGCTCCTCTCTGACTTTTCTCCAGTTGTTGCTCTTAGATTTGTTTCCCCTTGCCCTTCCCCTCTTAAGTGTTGTCTGCAAATAGCTGTCAGCTGTTAGCACCTGGGGACTGAATAAGGCAGGCACTGTCAGCAGGCTTGTATCTGCTGTGAGGGCTTTATGGCACTGTGGAGTTGAAGCTCCCTATGGTATCTTTTCTTCCTGCCTCCCTTCCAGTAAGGTTACTCCAGTAGACACTTAATAGCTGTTTAACACACACAAAAACAAATTGAAGTAAGATATGGATACTTTTGGAGGGGGGAAAAAAAACCTTCTATTTTTCAAATAAAATAATATTTTTGCTAAAGTTATTTTATCTGCTATTTTTCTCTGGCAAACTTGGACACCTGAATTTTCTAGGGGCTCTCTTTCAAATAATGTCAAGGAAAATATTTAAAACTTTTAGAACACTTTGCATGTGATGAGAGCTATTAGGTAATAAGAGTAATATTAACTCTTCTTAGGCAGTGTGTATTATGGCTGTTCCTTGACTCAGTGATGTGCCCCCACTTAACTGTGTACGTATGAACATCTGCCATCAGTTGTGCATTTGGACACCCTAATGTTCAAACAGTAAAAGATAAACGTAGATAAAGGGGCACTTGTCTGTTTTCCTCTAAACTACACAGCATGAAAATTTTACACCACTTTTCAAAGTGGGACTGTCAAATGATCCTGAGTCTTTCAGTTAAGATGATTTTTTTAAAAGATGGAAATGACTTGCACATTGCAGTGACCTTTATAAAGTTTCTATGTAATACATGTCAATTGTCATCAGGATTAAGAAGAAAAAAACACTTGTCAACATTCTCAAATGTCAGACTTTCAACTTTCTTAAATCTTAAAGATAAGTGTAGTGCTGTTGTGCTTCACTTGATGTTAAGAAGACACCTCTATGTTGAGGAGTCACAGCTCTGATTTCTATCAGGAGAAGAAACTGTGAAACTTTATTACTTCTACATTATCAAACTTGATGGAAAATCAGACTTCCTTCCAGATAATGTCAAACACTGGAACTGCAGCAAACAGTACTATTTAAATACCATTTTAGGTTTGCAGTTATTACATGCTGCTTTTCTGAAGGTTCAAATAATCTAAAACCAGAGAGTTAAAGTTATAAGCAAATTCTTCCAACTAAATCTGAACACAATTTAAAAGGAAGTGATATGGAAAAGTTTTTATGAAGATACCTGGGTGTTTAGTATCACAGAACAGAAAGCTTCATTCATGGGGAAAGAAGAAGTCCATTTATTTGAATAATTCATATGCTCTCAAATAATTGAGTTGTTATTCAACAAGCTTTCAGCTTATTTTTTTGTTGTTTTTTTTTTAATCAGGGCAGGAGAATTTGTTGTGCTACACATATGTGCCTGTCTTGAGCTAAAATTTGAATTGACTATTGTCATGGTTTTGTGATTTTTGGTTTTTGGTATTCCACATCATAACATCAAAAGTATGCCATCAAAATAACTTTTTTAATATATGTGCTCTTTTTACCCAATATGAACTAATATCAACTTTACAAAGTGTAGAATGATGTGGATCTGATTATAATTCTATTTTCTAACTTATCTATTTATTCCTTTAAAGATTGCAGCAGCGTAGAGTGTGCAAGCTATTCATATCACTTCCTTGCTCAGCCCCTCAAGTTTTCAGAAAAATAGACAGTAAACTGCTTCTGTAATAAACCATGGAGTCTAACATGAATGAATGTCAACATTTGTTTTATTCCAATAGAGAAAGGCAGGCTAACTTGGAAAAATAAGGCGGAGGTCATGGAATACTGTTCTGTACTCTGTAGCAGCAATGCTGGTGATTAAAAGGAGTTTCAGAAAACAAGGTTGCTTTATGTAGATGTAAGCATTATGTTTTTGTATGGCAAAAGAAGGTGATGGCAGTGCCTTTGAATGAAACAGAGGCATTACAGAGCAAATAACATGTAATAAAGGAGGAAAATTGGCTCATCCCTTCTAACAACCAGTAACAGCTCAAGAGGAGTGCACTCTCTATCCTATGAGATGATGCTGCCTTGGCTGGTAAGCCTTAAATGAAGGTGAGGAGGAGTGGATCCTGGCTTCACCTCTTCTGGTCACCCAGGTGTGTTGTTTGCACTTGAGCTCCCTAGGTTAGCCACACCTTCTCACCTGTTGCTCAACCATTGATTTGGGCTGTGACTTGGCAATTCCATTGCAGCTTCTTAAACCTATTTTCTGTTGGAAAACACCTCCCTTTTAAAGAAATCTTTACCAATATGAAGAATGTTTCTAGATTCTATACTACTACAGAATGTTTTTATGTAAATATAAAATACCTGTTAGTCAGTTCTATATAAAAAAAAAAGACATAGGCAATCTGTTCTTATGGTTTTCAATATTTATATATATATAATATATAATATTGAAATAATTATATTTAATAGCTTTCAATATTTATCTTACATATACTTAAATTTCAGTTATATAACATGAAGCATTTGGTACTGAAATTATCATGGTGTTTGAAAATACAACTACAATAGTTGTAATACATATAGACAAGTTCTAAGCCAAGGCCATGTTTATTAGAAACAATTTGATTTATATAACTGATGTGCTAAACATCACTAATTTACAGTACTAGTACATTGGTAAAGATTCCAGGTATCATGAATATTCCTCCAGAACAGTTTTAACAACAGATGTCAATTAAATTGGAAAGAGGGCTAGAAGAACCTTGATGTGAAAAGATACCACTTGCAATGGAAAACATTGCTTATTCAGAGGGGAATTAAACTGATGTTGAGTATAATTGGTACTAAGCATTCTTTTTTTTTTTTTTTTTTTTGGAGGTGTATAGTCACATTCTGTGGTCTGGACTAGAGGGAAAATCTGTGTGTTTAAGTCAAGCTTTTCTTGCCCCACTTGTTTTCACTGGCTCCTGTGTAAAAGTAGGGGCCAGGTCAAAGCTTGACTAGTTACAAGAGGAACTGAGATTTTTTTTTACCTATGTTTTCCAGGAGCGAAAGAGTTAGGAGCACTGCAATACTGGAGTTCAGCATAAAGCACTGTAGATATTGATGAGTTTGATTTCCATGGTTGAAAACTGTTAATCTGAATGAGACAGTTAAATCACAGCAAATGCCAGAATAAATTTAAAATATCTCTCAGAACAACTGGGATAAGAGTGAATATTATATGTTTGTTATAGCAGCTTAGTCAGTCAACGCAGCAGTAAGTCTTTATCTTCATCACATACAACAATCCTCATTGTTAGTCTAATTCTTATAATTTGTCTTCTATGCATTGTCAGGAATGTAAATAGCTTTAAATTTAAGTAGCATTCACTACATAATACTGGTTGTTCTACCTAGCTCTGACCTTTTGATCTGAACAATTTTATGGTGGAGAATCTAGCTGAGACATTAGATAATACGCAGATTAAGTTACTACCTTAATTAAACAATATCCTTAAAAGTACAAATCACTTTCTTAGTACTGGGATACTACTGAAGCCACATCAGAAAATGAATTGGCAGTGTGCCTTTTTGCCTTTACACATCTTTCTCCATTTCATTACAGACAGCAATAATGCATATTCAGAGCAGCAATGTATCCTTAATACTTCTAGTACAGAATTGTCTTAATTTGCCAGTTAATGCTTCACTGCTCTCCAGCAGGGCCATCAGTTTATTTAGGGCTGCTTAAACAGCAGTAGGATCCTGCTTGCTCCCTTCAGAGCTTGATGCTGCCATGGGAGTTGCAGGTGAAAGTTGTTTCCATTAGAGTTTCTCACTTCCTGACTGTGGAAAGTACAGTCTGTTTTTGTCAGCCTGTTGCTCTTTCTCCTCAGTGATGCAACTTCCTTACTTTACAATGCTATGGTCCTTCAAAATAACACACTTTCATGTCACAGAGGTATATCCAGGTATACACCTTTGTAAAGAAATTGCATACTAATTCTGAATGATTTTTCATTGTTGCATCAGACAGTGTACTTTCTCCTAACCTTGAGAACAATAGGAAGGCAGTAATGATGTTTCCCTTCCTGATCTAAAGTGACAGTTTGCTCCACATCACACTTCAGGTGTTTTGTTTCAATCAACCCTGTTTCATAAAATTTTTCTGTAAAGTACCAGTACTTAAGCTTGGTTTTTAATAATGCTGTCTATTTAAAATAAATGTAATCATTCAGTTTTCCCTTGACAATTTTTTTTTATCTTGAGGTAGAAAATCAGAGTGGTTATCCAGCAAATCCTGATAGTTACTGTACATTGAGGTTTTTATTCTTGGGAAGTTCTATATTATGATGATAAATTTTATTGAGGATGGTTTTTTTTTACTTCTGTCTTTCCTTGTATCTGCTTTTGTTTTCCAGTTGGGAAACTCCATTTAGGAACCATTAACTTTGAGGTTCTGGTCAACTGATTTCTTGGGCCCTGGCAATTGCACTCAGCCTGATCTACAAAAGAAAGGGTCTTTGAGCTGTTCTTCGTGTCTCTTCTGCACAGGTATGAAATTACTTGTTCTGAGATGGTTTTTGGCCCTTAGGTATTAAAGCAGTGCTCACATTTTTTAGGTATTTGAAAACATAGAAATTCTGGAAAAAGACTTCAGGAAAGTTCCTTGATGCCATATAGTAGCTCAACCTAGAACAGAAGTAAATTTCTAAAGCAGAGGCACAATCAAAGTTAGAGGGATAGCTTTTTTTTTTTTTTTTTTAAAGAAACTTAAGCTAATGTTATAAACTTAAATTTGTCCAATCTGTCTGACAGGGGCTGCAGTCTGCTATCAGTTGTGATGAAATGCTTGTGCCACACTATTCTAGAGAACCTGCAAAAAAAAGTTCCAGGTTGATTCTCTGGTTGCTAGATCTGTTTTTACCTAAACTGAGAAACAAAACATTTGGTAGATACTCAACTGTGTTAATGTGAAGTCTATTGCTTTGTCATATGAAGTCAAACTCTCACCGTAAGCATCTTAGCTAAGGTTGGATATTTGTTTGCTGGTAGAAACAGCCGTGCAATCCAGCACCTTATTTTATTTTTGTCCAGAGATGTTGAGAAAATAAAGCTTTTTTGTTGTTGTTGTGAGAAGCAAATAATTATATTGCTACTTAATAAGCAAAGTGGTCATATTAGGTGAAGTGGAATACTCTGCCATTAAAATACTATGTGTCAGTGATGTATTATGTAAACATTAGAAATCACTTCTTTACCTTCTGTGCTATGAGGTTCCTAAACTCATCTGTGAGCAATCTGCCAGTTTTGTTAGTCTATGAGGTTGGACTATAGCCAGTTGCTAGTAGCTTTCTGTGAAGCATAGTACTTTTCATTGCAAGCCAGCTGCTTCAGACTTCAGATGAAATGCTTAAGACAAATGCAAATCTGACGTTCTCCTGCATCTGAGTGTTAAAGCATACAGGCTTTTAAGCATACAGACTATTAAGGCTGCTTGAAAATTGAATTATTGAAAACTAGTTCATTTATTGTAATTGTATGCACAGGAGTCAGTGGGAACAAAAATGTTCTTTAAACTAAGCAGTTCTTCCGTATTCAGTTTCCTCCTTGGAGCTTTGGGACACACAGAAAACACTGGACAATGTTTTGCGCTAAACTACTGGGATATGTTCTTAATTGATTATCTTCCTGATCATCAGCTATCTTCCATAGGAGACCATCATTTTATTCTTATGTTATGGTTGATGTTCAGTGAGCTGTAGATCTCTTTAAAACAATTGTTCATATGGAACTTCAAAATGTACAACGCTTGTTTTGTTTTAGTATTACAACTAAAGTAAACGAAGTGCCATTTTTCTCTGTAGTGAACTTGACTGCATTAACATTCAGCTTCGCAGTACTGCAGTTCTTGATTTGCATGTACTGTACTTCTAAGGTGATTCACAAGGTTTTGTTTTGCAATTGTTATTATGGCTTCATCTGATGCTTATTTCACCAATAGGAAGGCAAAGGAACACTGCAAGCAGGCAAGCTTTCTTTTTCTGTAACGGTATCTTTCAGGCTACTAAGTAATGCTGAAGTCTAAAACAGGCCCCAGCCTTCTCAGCTTTGGCTGTGCTGAGAGGATACTCATTCTTCCTGGAAGATATTTGCATTTATTTTAGGCTGTTAAGCAGCTGTTGTATTCTTGCAATAGGGAAAGTACTTAGGAGATGAGGTATATTTGAATTCCTATACAAATGCTAAAAGAAAAATCAGTCAAGTGGACAAGAAGAGTAAGGTTTAAGCTATGACCATACTGCTGGGCACAAGAGAATGGGAGGCAGGGGAGGGGGATGGAAAGAACAAGTGACAAACTGTCATGTTTCCAACTGAAAAGCCTGCAGTCTCACAGCTACAGAGTGGGAAGGATAAAGTGATGTTATTACATAGAGAATTTCTAGCAATGCATTCAGGGTTTTCCCCACAATCTCTTTCTATTGACTGAATAATAAAAATAAGATCAAGTCTGAATACAAGTGTATGAGAACCATTAGGTCATGTGCTGAAACAGTGATTGAGCACCTGGGGAAGGAGTGTGACCAACCCGGAGAGCATAGGCACAAGCAATTCTCCTGTGTGACCCAGGGGCTGATCTTCCCTAACTGGGCTGGTCAGCAGAAAGGGATGTATCCTTTCTTGGAGTTTGCCTCCTTTATGAGTTTCTACCAAGCCCTGATCATTATGAAGAGTAAGCTGTTCCTTCTTTATTACTGAATTGTGATCATTACATTCCTTAGGTGATCTGAAACTAGTTAAAGGCAACTGCCTTCTATCCTTACATCAACTTAACATGACACTGTCTTAAAATGACAGGGGGTCTGTCTTTGTTTCTTTCAAACTTGGTGTTTCATGGTAGGTTCAGACAGCCATAAAACCAAAAATATTTCCCTGGACCATAATAGCAAGCTGTGGGAAAGCCAAAACAAAAAACTCCTTATTTTGTGGCCTTTTATTAGGTCTAAATTCAGCTTAGAAGTAAGCTGCTGAAAATACTTTAAATTGACACTGCTCTTGAAGATAGATGAGCTTACACGAAGTGAGCCCACTAAGCTCCATTCTGATGCTTTGCATTCTACAGCAGGGTGCTTATCGACTCTTGGCACCACTTATAATGAGCAAGTTTGTGTGTGCTCTTGAGGGTGAAGATAAAAGCTAAGAGCTTTTAATTATCTGGCTCTGCTTTGAATATGAAAAATCTGAAAAAGATGTTATTGAACAATATTTATTGTATTTTTTAATACTGAGCACTTTCTACAAGTGTTTAACTGTTTGTTATACTATTTATTTAATTTCCAGTGGAAACTGCCGTAAGCCATTCTTTTATTTATTAGTTAATCATAAGCTGCATATATATATGTGATGAAATATTAATCAATATTTCCATATTAAATTATTTCGTTTGAACTGCCTCACAAGGAAAATTAGGGAACTGTAATTGTTTCAAAGTAGTTATAAATTTGATACATGTAGAAGTTACTTGTCCTTTAGTGTGATATAGTGATTCCCAAGAGTTTGTTTTTGAGAACTGAATGATGCTGTAAAAATCATGGAATCATACCCTAGAATCATAGATATGATAGAGCTTTTGAGTATCACTGTCCAGCTTTGTTCATTCTTCATTCCTGTGTAGGGACACAGGAACAAACAGTCATGTAAACATCTGAATGCTTTCTTAAAATATTGTTTAAAAAGGCCAAGTGTTGCACAATATTGAATGATGCATTCTGAGTATGATAGATTTTATTATTTTAAATATGGAGCACTTAAGGATCACTCCTTATATGTTTAACATACTGTGAATTGCCAGAAGCTTTATTTCTATTGCATTATTAGATATCCAGATGGGAAAATGGAGCAGTTTTTTAGATTTGCTCAATGGTACCTGCTGTTAGAGAAATGGAAATTAAGCAGAAAAAATTTTAATTGTGCATTTTCAGCACAAGATCCACCACTGACTTGTTTTAAATTTTTAGACAGTATTATCCCCTACATTTATATACCAGAAAAGTGCCTTTTTGAGCTTTTAAAAAACATTTGCTTTGTAAAAAATTATCTCCTCCTCAGCCAATATATTTGATGTACCGTAGGTCTTATAATAACCTTCTAAAGACAGTTGTCATCTCTTTTCAGCTATGCAATCTAGTTAACAAGGAGTTGAGACACAAATTGGTGACAAAATTGCAGGCCTCTAACTGCTTGATATTTATACCTCTACTATGCAAATACACTTCCCAGGGAAGTTCTGATTAAAGACAAATTAAATAAATGTATATGTCATTTAAATTCAATGGTACGTATGAAAATGTGAAATTATATGGTGATTAGTATGCTGTGTTTGTCTTTCAGGAATGATATTTCTCATTGAAATTATAAATTGATGGAAGTTACTTTTCTACAAGAATAAACTACCAATTATCCTTCCAGTTATATCAACAACCCAGTATATCTTTGCCCACCTCCAAACAGATTTTTTTTCAGTTATTTCTACTCTTGACCAAATTCAGTTTATGTGTGTAGAAGAAATGTTATCTGAATCTGAAAGCAGATTTTCTACAAGGAGGCAACTTTCAGTCTGCCACTTTCTCCTTCTGTCTGTCTTTCATTCTTCCCACAAAACTTTCCATTCACTTTCTTGGTATTTTCATCCTCCAGACAAAAGCATTTCTCTCTATGCAATGTAGTAAGCAAAGGAGAGAATTCTTGTTTTTAATACAAGAACTGAAATTCAGCCATTCGCTTTTGGAGATTGCTATGCTACTTCGACATAATCTAAAATGGTTCAATTGGATAATCAGAATGCAGCTTTGAAAAAGAGCTTATCTTAACAGCCAGACTGTGCTCTCAATTATGTACTATGCATAATATAAAGATGGTCCAACAGTGGAATTGTTTGTTTAGCTCTTGTCTACTTCATCCCTTCAGTTCTTTATTGTATGGTATTTTCTGCTTTTAAAACTTTCTGTTGAGTGAGAATATTGTAGGTTGAGTTTTTTCCATTTGTTACTGGGTGAGGTTAACAGTGTGAAAGCAAAAATTAGCTTCCAGAATGGGAGCTTTAAAAAAGTATTTATAATCTCTTTGAACTGATGATTACTGTTTTTATGTCACAGATGGGGAAATGTTCTAGAAAGAGTAGGAAAGAGTAATTATGAAATGAGCTTTGTGAAGCATCTGAGGAGGGATCTTATGAAGGGAGAAGTAGAAGTGAGGATTGTCTAAGTGCTTCTTCAAAACTATGTTTGTTTTCTCCAGTATGCAAAAATGTACACTAGGCACATTAGGGACCATTTCTATGTGTGTCAAGTGCATGTTTATGTCAAATTGTGGTAATCCCTTTATCAGACACGAGTAAACATGAATGCTAACTCTACTTCACCTTTCCGTACTTGAAATCTAATTTTTTTTACTGCTGAACACTTCATCTCTGGTTTGTATACAGTTTGCACTAGTTTAATTGGGTGTCTGTTGGAGACATAACCTGACTTTGAGATACTTCTCACTCCTCTTTTTAAATTTTTATACCATTGATGTTTTGCTGGTTGTAAGGAAATTACTTAAACTAATATTTTTGAAAGTAAATTGTGATGAAAATATATATTGTAAACTCATTGGATAAATGATTTTTTTATGTATATTTTTTTCTTGCCAGTGTACTCTGGGTTCTAACAATGTAATTTTAAGGTCTAATCTGTTTAGGGCATCTTTATGCTGATATACTACCATCTCTACCTGTTATAAATTTCACCTGCATCTGTAAGTCGAGCAGTGCTTGTATCTGCCTACAATGTTTCTTTGACTTCAGCAATGGTAATATATTAGATCTCAGCAGGGACTGGTGCATGATACAGAGGCAAAATTCACCTGATACTTTGAATGATAAACATGTAGTTTAAGAAGGTGCAGTTTCACGCCTTGTAGTATACGAGTGCTGGTGTGTAATTATCCTGCTTGGACTTTGAGTATATGTGTATTGAAACTCTTCAAGTTGAGATGCTGATGAGATAAAAAAATGGGAATTACTTCCTGATATGAAAAGTATGTAATGTGACAGTAGACTGTGCAAAAGGATATCAAGCTGTGTGAAGT